GGAAGGGACGGCTCCAGAGCCGACTAATTCATGCCAAAGCGCTCACTCACAACTTTAATGCCGGTAGCACACAAAGTAGAATTTTTGCTTACAAGACTCCACAGCTTGGAGGGGAACGTTGGTGCCAGGTCTGCTGGCAGGTTCTCAGGGCCCGAGGCTACATCAGTGAGCCCAGCTGGGTGCGGCTCCAAAGATCTCTAGTGCAGCTTCTTTCTTAGTGTTTTGTTCCTGGCTCAAAGGGGAGCCTTGCCAGCTTTCCTCTTCGCAGGAGAATCCACGGCTCCTGTCGCAGGATGAACGCCCGCCCCTGGGGAGCTGTTGGGGAGGTGACGGGAACGCATTCTGTGAAGGCACAGCTGGGTCATCCCTCGAGATGCTGCGTCCCCCCTTCCTGCTGTGCTTTTGCCTCGGTTTTGAACAACCGGGCTTGGTTCTTTCACCTGTTTATTCCCACTGGTTGCTAGGATGGGGAACCCCGGCCGGCTGTTTCTGGCTCTCCATGGTGCTTAATTAGGTGTCTCCTGCCCTGCCGTAACCCAAGTGTGCTCTTAATCAGTTCCTTGGGGGAGGAAGATCGGGAGGGGAGGCTTTGATGGCTGCATTTGTCTCCATTTGCAAAGCACATTCCTTTCTTTTCTAAAAAAGCACATGAACTTTATATCCTAATTGCAATCGTAAACGTGAAGGGCCAGTCTCGTTTGTTATGAAGGGGGAGGGAAAGGAGTGGCTGAAGGCTCCCTGCCCAGGAAAAGGAATTATTGGGCTCGGGAAAGAAAACAGCAGCCCGGAGTACTTAAAGAGACAGGAGCCCTGGGCTGGCAAGAAGGTACATTGAACATCTCTATGCAGACAGTTGCCCTGACCTGGATAGCCCTCATCAGATCTCAGAAGCTAAGCAGGGTCGACTCTAGTTAGTATCTGGATGGGGGGCCACCAAGGGAGTTCAGGGTCGCTACGCAGAGGCAGGCGATGGCAAACCACCTCTGAACCTCTCTTGCCTTGAAAACCTCCTACGGGGTCACCATAAGTCGTCTGTAACCACTTGAGCCACCGCAGTTCCCTATATGGACTGGTGGCAATTGCTTTTTACGTTGCGGGAAAATTGCCGCAAATCAGGCTTGGGAAAAGACGGGGGGAACTGCGGGAAGCGCTGGCTGTGAGGTCGTCCAGATCCCCCGTTGAAGCAGCGTGAACCAGTTGCTATCATTCTGAGCCCCAGAAGAGGAAGGCGAGCTGTCCTCGGTGGATAGGGTCCCTTCCAGCGCCTCAATTGATCTCACGGTTTCACCATAAGGGGTCACTCCTTGGTCTGCACTTAGAATGAGTGTGAGCAGGGCCGGTTCGCCCGCTAGGCGAACTTCTAGTGATATTAACGTTTTTTTAAAAAGACTTGGACAGTATTTGACCAGCCTATTGGCAGATCTTTTTTTTTTAATTTGACGGCCGGGTTGGGGGCGGGGGAACTTGGAAGAGGGGAGGGACCCGGTCAAAGGCCGAGGGAGACCTGGGCGTCGCTGTGAAAATCTAACCTTATTCCTTTTGTCAATATTTGTGGCTGCTGAAAGAAATGACGCCACGTAATCTTGCCTTTTGTACTGTGGCTAAGGTGTGCTTGTGAGTGCCCAGGGCTCGGTGGGAAAACACATGAATAGCAGAGCGACTCTTTTGAGTAGGGCCACACAGCATCTTTTTGCCTCTGCCTGAAGTACTGGCTCTTGCAGTGTGTGCGTGAGTTAGTGTGAGTCAGTGTTCCCTCTAAGCTGAGTTAGTGTGAGCTAGCTCACAGTATTTTAGCCTCCGGCTGACACATTTTTGTCTTAGCTCAGGAAGGACGGCTCCAGAGCAAACTAATTTCTGCAGTAGCCAAATCGCTCGCTCACACCTTTAATGCCAGTCGCTCACAAAAGTAGAATTTTTGCTCACAAGACTCCACAGCTTAGAGGGAGCATTGGGTGTGTGTGTGTGTTGGGGGGGACATTCCAGCTGTGACTGACATGCCACAGCAAATTCCTGTGTTGTCACTTTGTGCTTGTCTAGTCAGCTGGGAATGAAGCAGTTGCAGGTACTTTCCTTGTGCTGTCGAAACAGAGCAGGGCTGTGGCTCAGTGGAAGAGCATCGGCTCTAGACTTGGAGAGTCCCGGGTTCTAGCCCCAGCATCTCCCAGTAAAAAAAGTAATTTGAAAGATCTGTGCCTGGGACCCTGGAGAGCTGCCGCCAGTCAGGGTACGCCGTGCTGGCCTGGCTCAGTAAAGGCAGCTCCATGTGTTTGGTCTGATAGAGGTGGAACAGTGGCTCAGTGGTAGAACATCTCCTTTGCATGCAGAAAGTCCCAGGTTCAGTCCCTGGCATCTCCAGGTAAGAAGGTAGCTGATGATGTTAAAGACCTCTGCTTTGAAGGATTATTTAGGTAGCAGAGTGCTCAAGGCTCATAGCGCAACAGAGCCAATCTGGTTTGTGTGTGCTGGCAAGAAACAAAGTTACCTCTTTATCTTTGCAGAGCTAATATGAGTCCTTTATTGTAAGGAACTCCATTCTAGACAGGATAGAGATAGGATTTGAATCTATTCTAACTAGCTAGGATGGATAGAGATGCAGGAAGCATGTCCTGCCCTCATGGTGTCAAGATGGAGAAGGCTAGCACAGTGTGGAGAGAAGGTGTCAAATGAGAAGGAAGGAAGATTCCCTGAGGGAAGCAGTCTACACATCAAAGGGGTAGTATCAGAGTAGTAGAAAGGAAGGATGATCAGTGTCCTGGCCTCTCTATTTCTCTGGCTCTCTTATAGACCCCCTCAGAAGTCTGAGGTTAAGAGACAGCACAAAGCACTTCCAACATACTTGACCCCTGGGTTAAGCAACACCCCCACCCCCCACCCCAGTTCTCTGGAAACTGGTCTCTTCTTACTCAAAGACAACAATCCGAAAATTACTTTGGGTGTGGCTAAATATGTATCAGTCCTTTTTAACTCTTGGTTCTAAATAGAATATCTATAAATTTTCTACTGCTCAAGATTATATATCTATGACCTTTTAGGATTGAAAGGAAAGGAAGGAAGCCTCTACTTGAGACCCTGGAGTCTTGCTGCCAGTCAGAGTAGACTGTGCTAAACCAAAGGTTTGACTCAGTAGAAGGTAGCTTTGTGTGTTCAGTCCGACAGGGGGGGGGGGCCGTGGCGCACTGGAACATCTGCTGCCTCTCTAGTTAAAAGGATCCAGTTTTGTGTGTTGTGAAAGTCTTCCACAGTTGAAGCCAGCTTGGTGTAGTGATTAAGAGCAGCAGACTCTAATCTGGAGAGCCAGCTTTGGTTCCCCACTACTCCACATGCAGCTGCTGAGTGACCTTGGGCAGGCCACAGTTCTCTCAGAGCTCTTCTCTCAAGAGCAGTCCTCGAAAGAGCTCTCTCAGCCCCACCTACCTCACAGGGTATCTGTTGTGGGGAGAGGAAGGGAAGGCGATTGTAAAGAAGAGCGGGGTGTAAAACTTCTCCTCCTCTTCCATGAGAACCCGAAGAGCCACTGCCAAAGTAAACGGCACTGATCACAGCACTGATCAGTCTATCAGGACCAAAGGTCTGACTCATTAGACGGCAGGTTTGTGTGTGCAATGTGCTAGTTGCCAGAATCAGTGGCTCTTGTGCTACTAAAAGAGCTGTGGGCTGACATAAGAAGAAGAGAAGAAGAGATTGGATTTATACCTCGCCCTTCCCTCAGAGTCTCAGAGCGGTTTACAAGCTCCTTTCCCTCCCCCTCCCCACAACAGACACCCTATGAGGTAAAAGAAGAAGAAGAGGAGATTGGATTTATACCCTGCCCTTCAACAGAAGTGACTGTGTATGAAATGACAAATATATTCCAGAAGGGAACTGGTTCTCAAACGGTTCTGTCTGACATGACAGACCAGAAACCATTTGGGAACCGTTCCTCTTCTGGAATATATCGCCTGTCTGAAATTCCTCTTTGGCTTGCCCAAGGTCATCCAGCAGCTGCGGGTGGAGGCGTGGGGAATCGAACCTGGTTCTCCCAGATTAGAGTCCGCGCACTTAACCACTACACCAAACAAAATTGCCAGCATAGGTGTGCTGAGAAGGGGTGGGAGGGAATGGGAGGCCCATCGTGCTCTCTTCAGGAATGGGTTAGTGGTTGGATTGTTGGACTAGGATCCAGGAGACTACGCTGTGTGACCTCCAGCCCGTCACACTCTCTCAGCGTAACCTACCTCACAGGGTTGTTGTGAGGATAAAAATAGAGAAGAGAATGACCTAAGCCACGGGGGAGGGGGGGAGGCTACGAGTGAAACAAATAAGACTGCTGTGGAGATAGAGACCAGAACAGGGTGTGTGTTTTTAGCACTTTTGAGCTCTTTTAATCATCTCTGCTGATCTGTATCCTTGTCCTTGGCAGCTGAAAAAGTCACTTCCCTGGGGAAAGACTGGCACCGGCCATGCTTGAAGTGTGAAAAATGCAACAAGACCCTGACTGCAGGTGGCCACGCAGAGGTACGTGGAGGGCTTGAGTCGGGCTGGGCCGTGGCTCAGTGTCAGAGCATCTGCTTGGCGTGTGGAAGGTCCCAGGTTCGATCCCTGCCTTTTCCAGTTAAAAGGCTCAGTCTTTAAGTGACAGGAAGGAGCTCTGCACCTTAGAGCGTTGCTGCCAGTCAGAGCAAGCCCAGTCTAGCCCATTCCCATCAGATCTCAGAAGCTAAGCAGGGTGGGGCTTGGGTAGTATATTTGGAAGGGCGACCTCCAAGGAATACCAGGGTCAGGATGCAGAGGCAGGCAATGGCAAACTACCTCTGAAACATCTCTTCCCTTAAAAACAAATTTAGCTTGATACCTAGTGGTGCATAACTCTAAAAGAGCCAGCACTTCTGGCTGCCAGACAATCTTAGGATCTCTCCTGGCTATAGTACACACACTGCCATATGATAATTATTATTTGAGCAAGCAAGACTGGCCTTGGTAGACCAAAGATCTGACTCAGGATATATAAGGTGCCATGGAGCAGTTGGCAGAAGGTCTCCTTGGCTTGAAGAAGATCCCAGGTTCGGTCTCCAGGTAAGAAAAGGCTAAAACAATAAGTGATGTGAAAGACCTATGCCTGGGACCCTGGAGAGTTGCTGCTAGTCAGTTGACAATACTGATCTTGATACACCCCGGGCCCAGCTCAGGATATAGTATCTTAAACAAGGGACCGTGGCTTAGTTGGCAGAGCATCTGCTTGGCATGCAGAAGGTCCCAGGTTCAATCCCCAGCAGCTTCTGTTAAAATGATCTAATAGTAGGTGCTGTGCAAGACCCCTGACCAAGACCCTGAAGAGTTGCTGCCAGGTCTTGACCTGGATAGCCCAGGCAAGGCCAATCTCATCAGATCTCAGAAGCTAAACAGGGTCGACTCTGGCAAGTACTTGGACGGGAGACCTCCTTGGAATACCAGAGGCAGGAGGCAGGAGGTGGGGGCAGGCTTTATTTAGCCACCTCTCTGAATACCCTCTAGGCCCCCAGCAGGGATCAGTCACCAGAGGTCACCATGACTTCCAGGTGCGCTCTCTCTCTCTCTCTCACACACACACACACACACAAACATATATATAAAAAAAGAGTTGCTGCCAGTCAGAGGAGGCCTTGAAAGACCAGTGGGTGGCTGACTCTGTACAAAGCAGTTTCATGCATTTGCTGCTTTTGCCCACATTTGTTTTTGAAAAATTTATCACTCCTTTCCTGTTCACAATGCGGGGGGCAAGGAGCTTACAAAATATATGCCAAATCAGTGTTCCCTCTAAGCTAAGTTAGTGTGAGCTGGCTCACTCATTTTTTTCTCAGCTCAGGAAGGATGGCTCCTGAGCAAACTAATGTATGCAGCAGCCAAATCGCTCCCTCACAACTTTAATGCCAGTAGCTCACAAAGTAGAATTTTTGCTCACAAGACTCCACACCTTAGAGGGAGCATAGATGTTGTTGTTGTTCAGTCACACAGTCGAGTCCGACTCTTCGCGACCCCATGGACCAGATCACTACGGAAACAGTGTCCCACGTACTGTGTGAATGTTATTATTATTCTGATATCAGGCATCGTATTTTATCACCAATCTTGGGTAGAGTTTCAGACTTTCCTAGGCCGAATAAACTACTATTTTTTTAAAATAGCAGAGAGGAAAACATAGTTGAACTTGTGGCAGAGTTTTTACTGGCAGCTGCTTCTATACGTAGTAAAATTCTGTAAGTCTTCAACGCAGGGTATCTTTTAACAGAAATCGTATTTTATGTAGAAGCTGAATTTTATTTCCCAGATACTATGTTTTTATTTCTGTGAAATGCCAATAAAGGAATTGCTGTGTGTGCAGAATGAACAGGATAGCACCACCGGCCCGTGACAAATAATGCAGAGCATCCAAAACAGTAAAGCTCCACCGCGTTACCGAGCCATAAATCAAAAGGACCAAAATCCCTATGAAATAATGCTGCCTTTTGCCTTCCAAAAATTGACAGGAAGGGTGTTGTCCTCGCTGCCTTTAGCAGCACATCCCAGAGGACTAAAGCAGTAACCCAGAAAACATGTCATCAAGCTGTCAATAAACATAGCCGCCCTAAGGGGGGAGGTAGAAACAAAGGTGGGGCGCAGACTGATATCAGGAGAGACAGTCATGCCAGGAAGCCCCCCAGCTGGATCCTGTTCTTGTGGCCACTCTGCAGACATCCAGATAGCTCCCCCCCCCCTTCGTGATCAGATATTTCAGAGTCCTTTGCCATTAACGCAAGTCATCCTAATGTGGGTCGAGCAGAATTGATTTGTGCTTCTTGGTAGCAGGCAGCCATTGACCACTGGTAGGACGCGGTCCGTGTGCATCGCTGATTCTGAATTGACCTTCGGGCAAGGATTTCTGGCCAGACTGCCTCTGCTTGATGCTTCTGCGACCTGCCGTGGAGGCGAGGCCTATTCATGGCTGTCGCGGCTAGATGGGAACCCCCATATTCAGAGGCACTCCACCTTTGAATGCCGGTTGCTAAGAGGGGCGACCTTAGTGGAAGGCCTTGGCCTCTGTGCCCTGTTCGTTGGCCTTCCATGGAAACTGGGTGGCCGCTGTTTGGAGATAGGGTGCTGGATTAGGTCAGCCACTGGTCTGACCCAGCTGGGCAACGCTTATGTTGTTATCGGTTTGACAATATCTCCTTGTGGACTTGGGATTATCATAGATAAAGGTAAAGGTTCCCTTGCTCGAAAGCCAGTCGAATCCAACTTTAAGGTTGCGGTGCTCATCTCCGTTTCAAAGCCGAAGAGCCAGCGCTGTCCGAAGACGTTTCCGTGGTCATGTGGCTGGCATGACTGAACACCAAGGCACACGGAACGCTGTTACCTTCCCACTGAAGTGGTACCTATTTATCTACTTGCAATTTCTTGCTTTCGAACTGCTAGGTTGGCAGGAGCTGGAACTAGAGACGGGAGCTCACTCCATCATGCGGCACACTCGGGTCTCGAACTGCTGAACTACCGACCTTCCACAGCCTGCAGTTCAGCGTCTTAACCACTTGAGCCTGTGTTTCCCCACTAGGAAAGCCTCTTTCTTTCCAGTCCTGAATTGTACTTACTTGCACACGCCATTTATAGCTGATTTTCCTATGGGTAAAAATATTCTGTTGTTTGGTGTAGTGGTTAAGAGCGACAGACTGTAATCTGGAGAACCGGGTTAGATTCTCCCCTCCTCCACTTGCAGCCAGCTGGGTGACCTTGGGTCAGTCACAGTTCTCTCTGAGCTGTTCTCTCAAGAGCAGTTGTCTCAGAGCTCTCTCAGCCCCACCTACCTCAGAGGGTGTCTGTTGTGGGGAGAGGAAGGGAAGGAGATTGTATGCCGCCCTGAGGCTCCGAGTGAACGGCAGGGTATAAATCTCTTCTCCATTTGGTTTTAACTATTAGCAGACCAGTCTGGCAGGCACACTGGAGTGGAACGCACCACACAAACTGTTTTCCCCGGCAGCTACTTGGCTGCCAGCAGCGCCCCATCCAGATGATGCCCAAAGCTCACAGACTATGGGACAAAAGCTGTTTCTTTTCCTCACAGGAGTTGGCTGCAGATCCAGAGGAGGGGGCTGTAGCTCAGTGGTAGAGGATCAGCATTGTAGGCAGAAGGTCTCCGGTTCAGTCTCCGGTACCTCCGAGGACCAGGTAGTAGGTGTTGCAAAAGACCTGAGAGACCTGGAGAGCTGCTGCCAGTCTGAGCAGACCAGGGTTCCCCAACACGGTGCCCACCAGCACCCTTTCTGGTGCCTGCCAAGTGGGCAGGGCCAAGTGAGGCTTTTGCCCAGGAAGGCTTCGGACTGGTTATTGAATATTTGATTGGCTGTGCAGATTTTTTTTTTAAAAACCCATTGCTTTGGTAGCAGCTGCCGCCACAGCATACGGATCGTCATTGTGTTTGAAGGTAAGCTGTGGCAGCCGTTTTGTGGCCATGCCCTCCACGCCATGCCAGAACTCCAAAGTTGCCCACAGGCTCAAAACGGCCAGGGAACCCTAGAATAGACAACACTGACCTCGACAGGGAAAGGGCCTGCTTTGGCATAAGGCATCTTAATGCATTCAACATCTATTTGTTCTGCCAGTGTGTGCAGTGGAGCGGACCTGTGGTTTTGCACTTGTCTCCATGTTCACTGGGTAATAACAACAGAGGTCCTGTTGGTGGTGGCTCCCCTGAGTCGTTTGCCTTTGTCTTTGCAGCATGACGGGAAGCCCTATTGCAACCACCCTTGCTACGCAGCGCTGTTTGGACCCAAAGGTAAGGAGTCCTGCGGGGAAGGGGAGTGATTCTGGGTATCAGCTAGCCTGCATTCTCCTGGGATATTATCACCAGAAGCATGGTCTTGTGAATCCCAAAGGGGAGTGTTTCCAACACCCTCTCGCTCACACATCATGGGGGGGGGGCGTGCTCAGCAAGGGAGCCACATGGGATTCCAAACAGAGATTCAGATAGTTCCAGGTGGTCAGTTGTGTCGGTCTGAAGCAGTCAGAGAAATTTAGAGTCCAGTGGGGCACCTTTTAAGACCAACAAAGGTTTAATTCAAGGTATGAGCTTTTGTGTGCATGCACACTTTTTCAAATACAGTGGAATGGGAGGTAGGGTTCAGACTTATAGACAGAAGGCTGGACAGCAAATTTACATGCAACATGATGAAGATGTTTTAAGATATGCAAAGACAAAAACTAAATAACAAGCTAAGGTTATAAGATCAGCAGTTGCTTTAATTTAATTAAGGCGGGGAAAGGACAGCAAAGCCAATAAATATGTCAAAAACGGGATACATGCAGTGTTCCCTCTAAGCTGAGTTAGTATGAGCTAGCTCACTTTTTTTAGCCTCCAGCTCACATATTTTTGTCTTCGCTCAGGAAGGATGGCTCCAGAGCAAAGTAATTTATGCAGTAGCCAAATTGCTCGCTCACCACTTTAATGCCAGTTAGCCCACAAAGTAGAATTTTTGCTCACCAGACTTCACAGCTTAGAGGGAACATTAGATACATGCATAAAGGCATAGTAACCCAAAGGCGATCCAGAGTGGAAAGCATGTGGAACAGGGCCGGGTAGAGCAAAAACTCGGGGTGTGCAAACAAAGATGCAGGGCCGGCATTGGCACACCCTCAGGTGGGGCAGCTGCCTTCCAGCAGTGCCCGCTGGTGCTGGCATCCCCTGCCCACTCATCTGCTAGCACCCCACTACCTGCTGCACTCCCTGCTTGGTGCCATTGGGGAAAGGGCTGCTGGGGGCTGGGGGCATGCATGGGCCATGGGAGACCTTGTGAGCAGACACGGAAGCATGCACCAGCGGGTGGGCAGGCAGGAGGGCGCGAGGGCCTGGTGGTGGGCAGAGGATGGGAGCGGGCCCTGGGAACTGCCTGCCCAAGGCTTCCGAGTAAACTGGAACCAGCCCTGCAGGGATGACTCCAGATTCAAAGCTGAGCAAGGGCTGAAGCAACAACAGCAGCTCTTGGCGCAGGCTTCAGAGGATAAAAGAAACGAAATTGACCAGGCTCAGAAAGATGTGGGGGAAAGTCTCCTTGATTGGTTGGGGGAAGAGGCAGAGATGTTCTCAAGCCCAGGCCCTTCTCCAAACTAGGGACGGTCGTGGCGGTGCAGGGGCAGAGGGGAAGTGAGACCAAGGGAGTGTCCTTTTTGGAACTCTGTGCACCTAAGGAGCGGGAGGAGGAGTCAGCTCATCGGGAGTGAGCTCATTAAATTGCAGGCTGCTTGCCAGTTTGGTGTAGTGGTGAAGTGCGCAGACTCTAATCTGGGAGAACCGGGTTCGATTCCCCACTCCTCCACTTGCCCCTGGCTGGATGGCCTTGGGCAAGCCATAACTCTGGCACAGCTGTCCTTGAAAAAGAGCAGTTTCTGTCAAGAGCTCTCTCAGCCCCACCTACCTCACAGGGTGCCTGTTGTGGGGAGGGGAAGGGACAGGAGTTTGTAAGCTGCTCTGAGACACCTTTGGGTAGTGAAGGGCAGGGGATAAATCCAATCTCCTCCTCCTCCTCTTCTTCTTCTTGCCACCCAGTGGGCTCAAGTGGTTCCTACCTGTTCTTCTGCCCCACTCGCCTCCTTTTGTTCTGCCAGTGACCCCGTAGCTGGGACTTTCGGGAGGGGCTGTGGCTTAGAGGCAGAGCATCTGCTTGGCATGTGGAAGGTCCCGGGTTCAGTCTCTGTCATCTCCACTTAAAAGGAACAGGCATCAGGGGATGTGGAAGGTCTTAGACTGAGGCCCCGGAGAGGCGCTGCCTTTCTGAGTACACAGTACTGACCTTGATGGACCAAGGTTCTGTTTCAGTATCAGGCAGCTCCATGTGTTCGTGTGACTTGTACTGAAGCAGCATTAATTTTTCTTGAATTTACCTGATCTCATCGGAAACCAAAGGGATCATTGGGAGGATCCTGTTCTTGTTCACTTTTTGAGCTAGCAATGATGAGGAGCCGTGTGTTGTTTTATATTGTTGCTTTAAACTGTTTTTAATTGTATTGTGTACTGTGATGGGACCTGCCCTGAGCCTGCTTCCAGGAAGGGTGGGTTACAAGACCAATAAAATAAATAAATATTCAGTATCCATCGGGGTTGTCTTTCAGGATTTGGCCGTGGAGGTGCTGAAAGCCACACGTTCAAATGAAGCGCAGGTAACAACAACAACAACAATAATAATAATAATAATAATAATAATAATAATGACAATAATTAATAGCTTCCTCTGGAGGCCCTGGCATCTCAGCTATGGTATTCTTGGGTCCTTCTTACTTAACGGCTTCCTTCCTTCCTTCCTTTCTTCCTTCCTTCCTTCCTTCCTTCCTTCCTTCCTTCCTTCCTTCCTTTCTTTCTTTCTTTCTTTCTTTCTTTCAACTGCCCCCCCAAGAGGCAGAAATTTTATTTAAAGTTTTTCACACATTATACAGAAACACAAAATAGACATACTAACATACACACATACATACAGGGCTCTTTTTGTAGAAAAAGCCCAGCAGGAACTCATTAGCATAATAGGCCACACCCAACAGCAGAAACTCATTAGCATATTAGGCCACACCCCTGACAGCACAGCTCATTAGCACATTAGGCCACACCCCCATGTTACCAGAAGTGTGGTCATCCAGCTGCACCCACCTTTTGCTTCTTATTCTGTTGACCTTGTTTGTGATGAAAACCCAGGGCTTTTTTTGTAGCAGGAACTCCTTTGCATGTTAGGCCACACACCCCTAATGTAGCCAATCCTAATGAGTTTCTGCTGTTGGGTGTGGCCTGTTATGCTAATGAGTTCCTGCTGGGCGTGGCCAACTTGGGAGCCAGCTGGAACTCCGTTCCTGTGCCCCAAAATAGCCCTGCGATACATACATGGGGGTTATTTTCCATTTTTAACAAACATTTATGCTAACGCCTGATCCACATAGTTCTCGATTCTTGTGTACTGTGTAAAGTAACCATCTATCTCTACCTTCTTCAATCATATATAGATTTCATTTAATAAACCAATATGTCAAATATAAACTTGCCTACATATGATTATCATACCAATTATAAAACCATGTCCAAGTATTCTGAAATGTTGATTCGGTTGAGTCAATTTATCCAGTTCCGCGGCCTCCGGGACTTTATTTATAAATTCTCACTTAGTTGGTATCTCCGATAATTTCCAGTATTTTGTGTAAGGAATTCTGGCCACCGTAGTTAAAAAAATAATCGAGTAACGATCATCTTTGTTAGTGTTTTCAGGTAAAATGTTCAACAATAGAACCTCTGGTGTAAATGTCACCACTGTACCTAACACCTTTTGCAAGATTTCATGCACCATTGCCCAATATTTCTTAGTTCTTTCACAATGCCACCACATGTGGTAAAATGTGCCAACCTTATTTTCACATTTCTGTCAGATTCCACAGCCAACAACTGAGTACACGCTTATCAGAAAGGTGATACTTTATTGCAGAGCTATAGATGCAGTAACGTAGTCACTGTTAAGAATGGCGTCGCCCCTACAAGCAGAATGGGATATAGGGTATTTGTATGCACACACCCCTTCCTTAGGCCAATTAGCCACATTCCCCCGCGCGGGAGAAGGAGCCCCAGGCCGTTAGAGCCGAAGCTGGGAACCGAAAGCGCTCCCACGGTTCCCTGAATCCCAGACACTACACACCATCTGCAAGGCCATAGATAAGCAAGTGTTACAGAAGCAAAGAAGGAATGCAGCGGTACATGGTACACAGGACAAGCAAGCATCCCACCCCCAACCCTTATGGCAGCATAGCTGACAATTTCCAACACTTATTAGAACATTTCAGATCAGTTTTAGCTAACCTTTTTCTTTCTCTTTAGAGCTGGAAGGATGAGGTCTTTATGTGGACCCTGGCAATCTCACAGGCATTCTGCCCACAATGCATCCCTCCCCCTCCATAGCAAGCTTGCATATTAAAAAAGGCATGCCAAAGTGGAAGATTTCCTGTTCGGTTGGAAAACATGACAGGGTGGATAATTCGAAACCGGGCAAGACTGGTAATAGTAACAACGATGTCAAGCTTCCTGGAAATAAGCAATCCCAGCCAACCCCCCAACCCCACCCCTGGAGCCGGCTTTTAGACCCCGTTCTTAAGCAACGATGATTCTGTCTCTGTTATTAAAAGCTTGAATTAAAGTGGTTGGCTGCAGTCTGTTTTGTTAATAAGTGGGCATGTGTATTTGTTGTTCATTCATAAGAGATTTTTTCAGGCTAAGGTAAAGGTAAAGGTTCCCCTTGCTCGAAAGCCAGTCGAATCCGACTCTAGGGTTGCGGTGCTCATCTCTGTTTCAAAGCCGAAGAGCCAGCGCTGTCCGAAGACGTTTCCGTGGTCATGTGGCCGGCATGACTAAACACCAAGGCGCACGGAACGCTGTTACCTTCCCACCGAAGTGGTACCTATTTATCTACTTGCAATTTCTTGCTTTCGAACTGCTAGGTTGGCAGGAGCTGGAACTAGAGATGGGAGCTCACTCCATCATGCGACACCTGGGTCTCGAACTGCTGAACTACTGACCGTCCACAGCCTGCAGTTCAGCGTCTTAACCACTTGAGCCACCGCAGCTCAGGCTAGAAGCTCACTAACAGAACCTTGGGAGTCCCTTTAGAATTCCCGCATGGTTTGAATCCTGCCCATATTACCCACTAAGGGTTCCATTCAGAGTCTGTTTCACAGGGTAGAAGAGAGAGAAGAGATTGGATTTCTACCCCGCCCTTCATTTGGCGTCTCAGGGCAGCTTACAGTCTCCTTTCCCTTCCCCTCCCCACAACGGACAACCAGGCATGACACAAAACTTAGAGTGAACGTCTAAAACCGTTCTAAGGTTACAGTACAGCAAGCAAAGGTTTCTTGTATCTGCGTCATTTTGAGGTTCTCTCAGTTCCCTTCCTCCCGACAGCAGTTTTGAACCACGGAGTCATGAAGAGGGTTGCCAGCTCTGGGTCGGGAATTACCTGGAGATTTAGGGGATGGAGCCGGGGGGGGGCAGGGTTTGGAGAGTAGAAGGACCTCAGCAAGGTACAATGCCACAGAGTCCACCCTCCAAAGCAGCCATTTTCTCCAGGGGAGCTAATCTTGGTCTTCTGGAAATCAACATAATAGCAGGAGTTCTCCAGGTGGCACCTGGGGGTTGGCAACCTGAGTCATGAAGCGGTTTGCTCTGAAAGAACTAATCCCTCCCTTTCATTGTATTGCATGCCACATTGGAGGCTTTTTCAAGGCAGCTTATAGAACACTCCTGAATAACAAAACCATAATTTAGGGAGATCCTGGTAGGCAGCCATGTTGGTCTGACTATTAGCTTTTGTGTGCGCTCACACTTCATAAGAACATAAGAGATGCCAATGTTGGATCAGGCCAAAGGCCCATCCAGTCCAACACTCTGTGCCACACAGTGGCCAGAAATACCAGTGCCATCAGGAGGTCCACCAGTGAGGCCAGGACATTAGAAGCCATCCCCCTGTTGACCCCCCCCCCAAGCACCAAGAAGACAGAGCATCACTTGCCCCAGAGTCCCTATCTATACCTTGTGGCTAATAGCCACCAATGGACCTCTGCTCCATATGCTCATCTAATTCCCTTTTGAAGCCATCCATGCTTGTAGCCGCCACCACTTCCTGTGGCAGTGAATTCCAAGTGTTAATCACTCTTTGGGTGAAGAAGTACTTCCTTTTATCCGTTCTAACCCGACCACTCAGCAATTTCATTGAGTGCCCACAAGTTCTTGTATAGTGAGAAAGGGAGAAAAGTACCTCTTTCTCTACCTGCTCTTTCCCATGCATAATCTTATAAACCTCAGTCATGTCACCCCTCAGTCGTCGTTTCTCCAAGCTAAAGAGCCCTAAGTGCCTTAACCTTTCCTCATAGGGAAAGTGTTCCAACCCTTTTATCATTCGAGTTGCCCTTTTCTGCACTTCTTCCAAAGCTATAATATCCTTTTTAAGGTGCGGTGACCAGAATTGCAAACAGTATTCCAAATGAGGTTGCACCATTGATTTATATAGGGGCATTATGATATTGGCTGATCTGTTTTCAATACCCTTCCTAATAATCCCCAGCATAGCATTGGCCTTCTTTATTGCAGTTACACACTGTCTCGACATTTTCAGTGAGTTATCTACTACAACTCCAAGATTCTCTCTCTTGATCAGTCTCTGCTAGTTCAGATAAAATTCCTCAGATAAAATTGAAATGGAAGTTTCCAGTCCATACATATAGGTAGAGGTTGAACAGAACAGCAAATTAGCATACAACACAATGAAGGTGTTTTGACAAATGCAAACAGGAGTAACAAGCTAAGTTTATATGGTCACCGTTTGGATTTAATTCTGGTGGTGGTGGGGAACAGTGAAGTGAATAAATATGTCAAATAAATATGTCTAATCTACTATTCCAAATAAGAAATACAGTAAAATAAAGAGGATGCGTAGCCCTTCTTGGTGTTTTAGTGTCTTATTTGGAATAGTAGATTAGAATAGTGATAGTAATGTAATGCAATGAATATTAGAAGGTAATGCCATTTTGAATGGTAGAATGGAATGTATTTCTCTGGTCTGGTGACAGAGTCATAACACTGCACAACCAATCACCCCACGTCAAAGAAAAGCATGCTGTTAGTTACCGCCATGCTTGAGAGGAGACAGATGGAGAATAACAGGTTCTTAGCATTCCACGATGAAGAAGGATACATTTACACATCTATCTCCAATTTTGACATATGTATTTGTTTCACTGTTTCCCCACCACCACTTTTTCCTCTGGCAATCGTACCTGCTCTGTTCACTACACTCCAGTAAGCCAGGTTAGTAGCTTGTAACCTACCATTCCATTCTGCCAAGCCTTCCTCCAGCTTAAGTGGCTCTTCTGCCAAAGCGAAGGCAGGTGCTTCCCTTCCCCCCCCCCAGTGATGCAGTCTCATGTTTACAAGATAAACACAGGTCCAGAAGACTGGCTGGGTATTTTGAGGGGAGCGTTAATCTCTTCCAGGAGAGGAACAATAGGAAGAAAAAGCTCAAAAGGAACAGAGATCATAGCAGCACCTGCAGAGTCCACGTCACTGCTGCTGATTCCAGCCAACATGGTGACGCCCTCATGTCAGCCGCACAGAGAAAGAGCCACACTGCACCCATTGATGCTAGCATACGCCTGTTGGTGTGTCCCCCTCTGGCCCACGACATACATAGAGGCAGGGCTATTTTTGGGCAGGAACGCACAGGAACGGAGTTCCAGCTGGCTCCTGAGTTGGCCACGCCCATCAGGGACTCATTGGCATAATAGGCCACACCCAACAGCAGAAACTCATTAGGACTGGCTACATTAGGGGTGTGTGGCCTAACATGCAAAGGAGTTCCTGCTACAAAAAAAGGCCCTGGGTTTTGACAACAAACAAGGTAAACAGAATAAGAAGCAAAAGGTGGGTGTGGCTGGATGACCACACTTCTGGTAACATGGGGGTGCGGCCTAATGTGCTAATGAGCTGTGCTGTCAGGGCTGTGGCCTAATATGCTAATGCGTTTCTGCTCTTGGGTGTGGCCTGTTATACTAATGAGTTCCTGCTGGGCTTTTTCTACAAAAAGAGCCCTGCATAGAGGACACAGGGCAGCCCAGACCCTTTCAAATGTGTGAAGGACTGAGGTGTGCCCCAGAGGAACCCTGAAGGGGATGTGCAAATGTCAGACAAACTGCAGACGATGGCCCTTGGGTCAGGAGGATACACAGAGAGCCAGGGTGGCGTAGTGGTTAAAATGTTGGACTAGGATCGGGGGAAACCCAGGTTTAGAATCTCCACTAGTGCTGTGGAAGCTCACTGGGTGACCTCGGGCCAGCCCCACACTCTCAGCCTAAGCTACCTCAAAGGAGATCGATCAAGGTGGGTCGCTATGTTAGTCTGTCCGTAGCAGTAGAAAAGAGTAACAGTCCGGTAGCGCCTTAAAGACTAACGAAATATGTGGCAGGGGAGGTGCTTTTATGAGTCACTGTTCACTGAAGAAGCAGGGCTATTTTGGGGCAGGAATGGAGTTCCGGCTGGCTTCAGAGTTGGCCACGCGCACCGCCAGGGGCCATTTCCTGCAGGAGGGCACAGGAGCGGAGCTCCGGCAGTAAAGAGCCCAGGGGG